GTTCACTGACTGAGCGAAATCCTGTAAAGGAAGTCTAGAAGTTCTTACCTCCTTTGACTTAAGGCAGCCTTTCAATAATGAGAATTAGTCTGTAAGTGCTAGCCAGGCTTGCTCCTACACATCATTAAAATCGAACTCCTAGTTCTGCCAACGTATTCACTCGTCTATACACTCACATAATTAGCACTTCATCATTTTATGCTATTCTGGGACTTCCTCAGTTCCTCCAATATCACACCCAACATTGCAAAAAGCAGTTACTATCACCTCATAAAATTCTGCTGTCCTTCAACGTCTGCTTTTTCCTGTAGGAAAGCCAGATTGTTTTTAAAAGACGGGGGGGAAAACGCTAGACAGATCAGTGAATGTTCAAGATATGATGCAAAATATGGGGAGACCCAGAAGACTGAAACACTTTAGTCGGTCTGTCCAGATCCACCCACTCGGGCCCTTCTAGCACCTACTTGATGGTTGGGATTTCCATTTTGGCATCTCCAACCGCAGGGCGCGGAGTTCAGTACTCGCGCCACACTCCAGCACCCGGGACGCGCGGCTGCAAGAGGAGAGAATTCCTGCCTGCCTGAGATTGCTGTTGACGTTAATTTTTATAAAAAACTGTTCCCTCTCTCTCTCTCTCTCTCTTTCTCTCTCATTCTCTAAGGGCTTCTTTGATCAACTCAACTGCTTCAATGACCCGCCCCCACTGCTAATGTGGTGAAGTGATTGTTTTACTCAAATACAAAACTACTTTTTGAGAACTTCCTCCGTGCTCAGCTAGTGTTTAGGCTATTCCCCTGGTTGCCCACGACGGAACACCCTTAGGGATGTTTGGGGTTCCCCTTTTGTCGTTTTTGTTTTGGAAGGGGGCCTGGGGTAAAAGGTGAAGCCCACAGGGCAGCCTCCCGCCGTTCGGTCTCGGCCAAAGTTTCCGCCGGTCAAGTTTGAGGCTGGGCGAGCGACGGGAGCTCCTGGACATTGCTGATCCACCGGCTCCGCACAGCGGCCTCCCGGCGGGTCGGCCAGTGCGACCACTGGCCTCCGGACTCCGACGAGGAGTGGGGGGTGCTCGCCGTGGAGCCCAAATCGCCGCGGCCTCGGGCAGAGCCGGCAGCTTCCGGAGAGGAGCTCGGTGGCTGGAGCTGCGGAGCGGTGGGCGCGCCACCGGGCTTAGGGTAAGAGATGCTCCCCGGAGACCTGGGGTGGGGGCCGGAGGAGGGGGGGCGCACAGGAATTGCCTCCGGAGGGCGCGGTTCCCGGGAGCCGGAGCTGCAGAGCTGAGGCTGTGCGCCCCGGGCGCGAGGGGAAGGCTGCGCCGCTCTTCGGACCGGGTCCCCGCGCGCACCCGCTGCCGCCTCGGGTAGTACAAAGTACTCACAGGCTCTGCCGGGAGCAAGACTGAGTGGCGGGAAGCGGCCCGCGCGGGCCTCCGGAAGCACCTGTTGCGGGAGAACGGCCCCCGCCTCCGCGCCGCCCCCGCTGCGCCCCCAGGCTGCGAGGGCGCCGGGTGCGGCCCGAGAGAGCGGGGCCCCGCGCCGCCGCCGGGTCGCTGGCTCCCTCTTCTTGCTTGTTTCAGCCCTCTGAAAGGGCCCCTGGCCAGGGCCAAGGTCACGGCGCGTCTCCGGCTGAGGCCCCTCTGGGCTGCCGCGGCCCCACCGAGCTGCCGCAGCCTCCGCCCAGCGCTGGCTCCCTTACTCCCCCCGCCCCCTGCTCACGCCTGGCGTGAGCGCCGGCAGAGACAGTTCTCTGAAGGAACTCGCGCAGCTCGCCCTTCTAAGTTCCCCGCCTGCTCCTGCTCGGGGCTGGGAGCAGGTTTCGGGTTCACCCTCAGAGTCCAAAGCGACCTCGCTAGGCAAACTCTTGGGGACAGCGCCTGCACAGCCAGTTGGGGCTCCTCTGCCTTTTGCGCCCCGTTCAGTATCAACCCATTTTATGGAGAGCAAAGTTGTGGCTCCTTCATTCATTCTTCCTCCTCTTGATGTTAATGCCTACAGAATATAGGGAATAGGGAACAAGCCTCCCCTAGGAGACTCCGGGCCCCTGTAAGGCCTCGCCAGAAGTGCTTGCCGGACTGGGGCCCTGGACCTTGGACCATTTCACATTCACCTGTAGAAGCCTTTTGGGAAAGCGGGGAGGAGAGGGCGCGCGGCGTCCTGGAATGTGGCCGAGGGCCCTCGGCCTGGACACGCAGTTCTGCCAGGTCAGGCAGATCTACCTTCGCGTTGCCGGAGCTATAAACCCGCTAGAGGGGCAGGGGGTCTGTAGACAGAGGCCCGGGGCCCCTTTCCAGCCTAGCGCAGTTCCCGTCTGAGCTGGTCGCAGGGGCTGCGTCCCCCCACTCGGCGGAAACGCGGCGCCGAGGAAGAGGGGCTTCTGGTTCGGACTCCCAGAAGCTTGGTGTTGGTCTTTCCAGTCCGAAAGTGAGTTTTCAGTTTGTATTTCAAGGCCAGCTTCCCTTTTTCCTTGCCACCTCGATTAACGTGAGAAAATTTTATACCTTGTTTCATATTGCCCACTGAGAAAATTGGAAGTTTTTTTTTTAATGCTTTTTTAAAAAGCCTTTAGCAGCATAACTTTTTCTACTCCTTCATTTGTAATCAATCGTTCTAACTAGACTTTGCTACTTCCTGAAATAAAAACTGAGTTACAGCATTCTCAGTTTGGACAAGAGAAAGGCCCGAGTCGATGCCCAAGGGTCAGGAAAGTGGTTCAGGAGGCGGCGGGGGCCGGGCCTGTGCACTGGCCCAAAGGCTGGGAAACGTCTTTTCCTCCAGTGTGGGGTTCCCAGGGCTCCCCCGCCGCCGGACGTGAGCAGCAGAGAAGCGCTGGGGGCGGCGGTCTGGACCACGCCTCTCCACCATCACCATCACCTAGGACTGTCCGAATATATGCTGATGTTCTGGAACCCTTTTTCTCATAAGCAGTTCGGTGGATGTCGCTGTCTGAGCTCAAAGGGACGGGTCTGGTGAATTCAGAAACATTTCTTTGGCTTGGATATTAGAAGTGCGTTTGGACAATCAACCTTTCCACATTCCAAATCGAATCATTTGGATTCTTCGTTTTAAAAAATCTGCCTTCTACGGAGGTGGGGGCGGTAGGAGGATAGAAGTCCAGTCTTCAAGGGCCCTGAGGGCCTGGCGTTGAGGAGGGACTCTCGTCCATTTTCTTCTCTTACAGAGAAGCGAAGTTCAGTGCAGAAAAGCATCCTCTCCAATGTTGCGTCTGCCCAGCCTACTGGTACTTGCCAGCGCAGCTTTCGAGGCGAGACTGCCAAAGAGGCAAAGCCTCGCAGAGCTTACAGACTCCCTGGCTAGGCATGCAACCCTCTCTGTTGGCCGTTCCACTTTGTCCACAAAGTGGAGGCTAAGTGAGGCCTCTACCTTGCTAGTCCCTAAGATATGCACTGACTGCGCCGCGCAGTCCGAGGCCCTGACTGCCGGAGATTCCGGGATTGTTTCGGTTTCACACTTTGCATCCACTCGACAACAACCTGGCACCTGTCTTGGGTTCCTCCGAGCCCAGAGCGTGGCGGCGCCCAGGCTCTTCTAGAGGCCTCCCGCGGGCTCCCGAGGGTTTCTGCTTTCCCGCCCCTCAACTGTTTAGCTAGTCCCATTGACAAAACACAGCAAGGGGGAAGAAAGATCGCGCCGACCTCCGCCCTGGAACCGAAGGTTCCAAACTCCAGGCCTCCTTCCTCTTTATCCCCAGAATCCACCGAGCACTGGCCCGCAGTGCCCACGCGCGCACGCCTACCGGGCTCTCCAAATCCTTTCCCTGCAGAACACGCGCGCCCACACAAACACGCGTTGTTTCTTATTCGACCCTCAGCACCGGCTTTCCCCACCCCGTGGACCCACCGGCCCCAGCCCAGTGGCGCCGAGCTGCAGATGCTACCCGC